GCACCTAAAAGGAAACTAAATGGCAGTTAAAGGGCATCTAAAGGGCAACTGAAGAGCAACTAAAGTACACTATATCATCAAAAGCATATGTCATTAAGGCTAAAAAGGATGACTATATGAAAAGTGAAATAAGTTATATATGGGGATAAGCATGCATAAATAAAGGCGAAATACCCTATGAGGTAAGCCTACACTCTCAATATTAGAAGTTGGGAAATTTGACTCAACCCTGAATGAGAGAATAGCTTCCATTCTAAAAAGTTGGGAAGTTAGACCCAACCTTGAATTGGAACACTGAAAAGGTGCAAAAGCTTATAGTCATTATATGACTTGTTCAAAAATGTTAAACAGTTTTGGTAAGATGCATAATGCAACTAAGCTAAGCACTTCTATGCTTAATATGACATTTCAATATGTGTTTTAACTATGTTAGCATTGTTAAGCATTTCTTATTTGTTTATTATTATTTTTTATAAATTGCTTGTGTATTTCATTGAGCCTAGCTCATTAGTAGTGGTTGTACTGCAGGAAAGGGGAAGGATCCCTTGGAACAATAAAAAGAGGTGATCATTCTTTTGGTGTAAATATGTTTTAGGTGTGCAAAGAGATCTAAAACGATATATGAATGCTAGATGTATAAACTTTTCGGACATATATGTGAATGAATTTTAAAAATTTTAATAGAGCTCTGTATTTACTTCAATTATATTTAATGTTCATTAAGGGACATTATATGCTTCCCATTATTAATTATGGAATTAGATAGGGTGGCAAGTTTGGAGAGGCTAAATAGATTTCTTTTACTCACACTCACTCCATTCTGAAAGTCGTAGCTCGGAATCGGTGTTAGTATGAAGGAATCAGTTTAGATTTTCCTTCTCTATTATATTCTAGATTGATCATTAAGGGGTAGGTTAAATTGGGTTGTGACAAAAGCATTGCATGTCTCACAACCATCTTATAGAATTTTTCCTTAACTTTATGGGGGACTTTTATATCACATAACAAGCTTGATGCATTCATCCACTTCAATAATCCAACTTGAATTCTGCTAAGAATATAGCCATCTATTTCACCATCACTCTAAACAATAGATCCAAGATATCTAAAATGAGTACTCTTATTAATAACTTGATCGCCCAAAGTCATAATCCCCTCATTAGGTCTTCTATTTCAACTAAAATTGCACTCCATAACTCGCTCCCATAGTTTTAAAGTATGACACATTAACTTAATTCTTCTATAATTTGCACACTCCTGTGTATCACTTTTATTCTTAAAAATAGGAATTAACACACTCATTCTCCACTCATCTTGCATCTTTTAGTCTTCAAAATAGTATTAAAAAGTTTACAAAGATAAGAAAATCCTTCATTTCCTAAGCATTTTCACATCTCTGTTGGAATATCATCAGGTCCAATAGCTTTTTCACACTTCATTTTCTTTAAAGCCTCTCTAGCTTTGGTTTTACTTATAAACCGGTAAAAATAAAAATCTCTATTTTCATTTAGGGTGCTAAAGTCACTAAAGTCAATTGTATTTTCATATTCTTCATTAAAAAGAGTAGCAAAATATATCATCCACTTTTGTTGAATATCATTTTCTAAGAAAAGTATTTTTTTATCTTCATCCTTAATACACTTCACTTGAACTAAATCCTTACTACTCATATCTCTTTGTTTAGCTAACTTATACATATATCTTTTTCCCTCCTTATTATATAATCTATTATATAAATCATTAAAAGCTAAGCTCTTTCTATCACAAATAGCTTTCTTAAATTCTTTACGAGCCTCTTTATAGATTTTCCAATTATCAACATTTTTATATCTCAACCAAAATTTATAAAAATATTCTTATTTTTTTATCTTTTCTTGCATATTTGAATTCCACCACCAACTATTTTTTTTTATTAGGAGTTTATCCCTTCAAAACTCCAAGCACATCTTTTGCAATATTATTAATAGCACTAGCCACTTAATCCCATATAATATTAGAATCCTCATGCACAAACAAAATCTTAAGATCTAAAATCATACTCTCAAAAATATTTTTGTTAATATTCTTTAAATGTCCCCATTTAATCCTAAAAAACATTTTACTTTATTTTTTATTTTATGCCCTTTTATCTTAAAGTCCAAAACTAATAATTAATGTTTGGTACATAAATTTTAACTTAGAATAATTTTACAATCTTTGCAATCTAAACGATCTAATTTTCTTATAAAAAAAATAATTACTCTGCATTTTACTATAGCCATTTTTATTAGTGATAAGTTGTTCATCTTTTTTCTTAAATAATATATTAGCTATTAAAAAATAATAAGCTAAATAAAAATCTAATATGGTCTTACCATCTTCATTTGTTATTTTAAAATCATGGCTACCGTGAATGCTTTTAAAATCATCTACCTCTCTACTGACATTTCCACTTAAATCTCCTCCCAAAAAAAACTCTTTCTTCAAGAGGTTCTTTTACATTAATTCTTCTAAGTCATTCCAAAATTTTAATTTTAAACTTATATTCAAACCTACGTGAGGAGCATAAGCACTTATAATATTAACAATCTTAGCATCAACAATAATCTTTAAAGCTATAATTTTATCTTCAATTCTATTAATTATTATAACATTATTCTTCAAAATCATATCTATAATCACACCTACACCATTTCTAGTACGATTCCTACCCAAATAATATAGTTTATATCCTAAACTATCAGTCATCTTAGCCTTCTCTCCAACTCATTTAGTTTCTTCAATGCGTTGAATATTTATCTTCCTATGACTCATAATATTTATTAGTTCTTTTAATTTTTCTATAAGAGAGCCTATATTCTTGTTTCCTATCTTAATTTTAGTTTCATGGATTATCTTCTTTGCTCATATCCATCTATGATGTGGGAACTCTTGCCTATTTAACACTGCACCCAGATGCGGTGCAACGGCCCTTGCACACTTATCAATGAGATGAATATGAAGATGTGGAAACTCTTGCCTATTTAACACAGCAGCCGGGCGCCGGTGTAGCAACCCTTGCACACTTGTGGATATGATGAATATGAAAAATTAATTTTGATCTTGATGAGTGATAATCCCATCTTAAAGTATAAATAAAGTTTCATGAGAAAAAGAATTTGTTAGTTTCAATTTTTTTAATAATCATTTTATTTCTAATATTAGATTGCATCCTAAATAGTTTTTAATGTATAAATGTAAAAGGTGGTCTTTATTAAATTATTTGTTACCTTTTTTTCATTTTCATTGAATCAAATCCACAAATTTTAAAGTTCCATCAATCCCCCCCCCCCACACACACACACACACTACATGGGTGAGATCTAGGTAAGTTTAGAAAGTGAGTGGAAATTTTTAGTATATCTAAAAATACTTCAAACATCGTGAAGATCCAAAATATACCTCCTCACATTTTTTTATACCAAGAGTGCTATAGAGACAACTATGTAAGATATAAAAAAACAATGCATTATATAACTATTATAAATTGAAAGTGACACTGACACTAACATATGGATGAGCTTTGTGATGTATACATGGATCCCTGCCTATGAAGTGGTCCCCTCCTCTAGAGTAAGTGTCTTAGGCTAATATTTGAGGGCATGTCTTAATTGAGCCTTTGAGATCTTGAATGTAGAGTAAGTATGCAAGGCAAGTCCATGGTCATAAGAGTGAGTACATAGAGGCAACATTCTGGCTTTTGGGCATGTAGAGTGAGTCCATTTGGATGGTAATAGCTATGAAGTGAGCATGGACTCAGTTAATGAGGTCATAGCCTTGAGCTTTTGTAGTGTACTCTTTCTATAGCTAGACCATGAATGTCAACAGTATGCAAATGATCTTGATAGTGGATGGCTTTTATGGGAAACTAAGCCCTATCAAGGAGAGTGGCCCCTAAAGTCTAGGCTAGTCTAAATAATTCCCTTGATGGAGCTTATCAGGGATGACAACACCCTAGGCTGTACTACTTAGGGTGAGTCTTGGAGCTACAATTTTCATGGGGGAGTGTAGCTGTTAGTTGATGGGCTAGCATTTATCAATGTTTATGCAATAAAAATATAAATATTAAGTTTATATATATTGATTTATAACAGATGAAGAAGAGCGTTTCTCAAATTGATTTAAGTTCCTTAGGAGCTTTTAGAATTAGATTAGCACAATAAAATCATATAATTCTTCTTAAAATATTGCCTAAATACACCTAAATGGGACAATTTTTTTAGCAACACTCTTTTAGGTACAAAACTATCATCCACTTACATTCATTTATCATAATTCACAAGAAAATTCTAATCTATATTTTTTACAATGGTGGAATAGCTCTAATGGAAAATAAGATTAGAGAGAATCTTAAATGATTTGGACACAAAACATCAATGACCCAATTAAGAAAGTCTAAGTATTAAATTTGGTCAATATTATGAGAAGTACAGATTTACCTAAAAAATTTTAGTTAGAAAATATTAGAAATAATCTTATTTATTAAATTTAAATGAAATTGTCTCTTAATAGAACAATGAAAAAAAATTCATATAATCGACTCCATAAAGTGGAATAAAAACTTGATGTTTTTATTGATGTATCAAATTTGATCATAACCACGAATTAACAAAGTGAATGGTTCATTTATTGGGGCTAAGCTTAACATTTATTAATAAATATGCTTCGAGTAAAATGCAAACTTTTCCATTTAAAATTTATACCATGGTAATCAATGAATACAAGTGGTTATGCTCATAGTGATATTAGGTTTGAAATTATTCTTACTTGATGCTTCAACAAGTTTTGAAGACTCGTCTTTTGGGTATTATACCAATAAATAATAATAATAATTTCTGCTTTCCTCGTCCGGAAAAGTAATGCAAGTGCTGGGAGTTGGTCTCATTAAAGAAAAAAATTAGAAAAGATATCAGACAAACCAATTAATTATTCTCTAAAACATATGAGCCGAGGATTTTATCTGAAGAGCCTGCAATAATTACTATTTAACACAACAAAAAATATCTTTCCTTCATTTGCCCAACAAGCAATTGTAGTTCGATTAAATGTACAAACAAGAATGAACAGCTCATTGAAAAACTTTAGACAACAAAGAACCTCGAAAATGTCGTCCTTCTGGTTCACGTAGATAAATCTTATCATCCAAATATTGCTCCAATTTCAGAACAATCTCGTTAACAGCTTCACCCCGTTGCTTAAGAGCAGGCAGAAATCTTCTAGAAATGACATTTAGCACTTTCATGAATTGAGATTTATATTTTCTAAGCAGTGCAAATCCTGCCATCTGTTGAAATAATGTAAGAAAAAATTGATTAAAAAAGGAGCCTTAAATTACGTTATAAAATAGAAAAAAATTGGATATCATGATATCCAAATCATAATAAGTCCCAAAATTTTTTAATTTATTTTAAGATGAGTGTAATATTAATTATTTATGTATTAGACTCATCTTAAAATATATTCAAAAATTTTGAAGTTTATCTTGATTGCATTTTGATTACGGTATCTAGATAGGATTTTTTTTTTTTCCTGAAAAATAGTATGGATGGAAGATTAACCTTCAAAAAGGCTTCTAACGCGACAGCTGTGGTTCTATTAGCTGGTAGCGCATTGAGGAACATCGCAAGCCATGCCCACCCATATTTCAAGCCATGAGGATTTTTAACGCCATCGATCTCCGTCTGCCAAAGCAATTATGTATTAATACAACATCATATGTTGACTATGGAACGTAAAGCAATATAATTACTAAGTCAGCCTCTCATGATGCTTATATAGGTTATATTTCCATATACGATTATTAGGACAATTATGGAAGACGGAAGCAATACGAATGAAGTTTCAGTAAAATGGAATAATAATAAAGAACCTGAATCAAAGCAGCATATAATTTCATACAAGATTCAACGCGATTCAAGAATTCATCTGTGCTTTCAAGCCCCCCATCTTCTTCTCGGTAACCCAACATTTTCCAATAATCCTTGGTTTGTGAAGCTGCCTGCAACAGTTTATCAAAAATTTATAATGAAGACAGCAACTTTATCCATAACAAGTTTTATCTGTAGATATAAACATCAATTTTATGTTACCATAATAACCAGCATCAAATAAGTAGCACGCTTTGGCAGAAAAAGTCCAACGCAGGTCACGTAAGGTTTTTTGTAATGCATCCAATAGCTGGGAACTTTAGTAGTACCATTATTTTAAAGAAAATGAAGTTTTAGGAAAAAAAGAATTTTTATGCGATACAAGTCAATAGAGGAACATTCTAAGCTCGGAAGATATTGTAGTTGGGTTTGTTTGAAATGGGACAAAGATAACTAGCCAAATACATCAATTATCAAATCACCAAGATTTAATAAGATAATAGTAGAGTAATTATCATCATCAACACCATTAGAGTTATCCCAACTATTTATCTTTATTAATTCTAATTCATCTTGTATTTTTATTAAGTATTATATGAGATATTAAACATATTTTGTGCAACTCTGTTTTCATAAATCAATTTTTATTATCTTCGCTCTATCCAAGCCTCCGTCCTAATCTTTCAACATTATTTTTGTCTACCAAATTATTCCAGTATCTTATATTCTTTGTACATTTCATTGACGGCATATTTGAACAACCATTAGCTAGAGAGCATCCGGGAGCAAGCATGCACTGGCGAGATCCCAAGCATGCTAATAAGTGGTAACATCTGCTGCTTGTAGGCGTTGGTGCATGCTCACACCAGCATGGGGAGGAAGGGATGTTAGTAGGGTGCGGTTTAATAAATTATAAGTACGTCGGCCTTCAAATGACACAATTAGGAGAGCAAATATATTAGATTTAGCCTATGTTAAAAAAGATAGATAAAGACGTAAAAAGACTTGATTAAACAATATTAGATTTAAATGGGATTTTGACTCTTAACAGGACAAAGGAAATAAAATGATTCACATAGCCGACCCCACGTAATTCGATAGAGGTTTGCGTTGTTGTTATTGTACAAAACTTGTCATGTCTTTACCAAAGCTTAAAATTATTGACCTTTTCTACAAAAAGGGAAAAAAGCATCAAGACTCAAGAGTTTTAAACATGCTTACCTAAAATGTTATTTTCAAACACGTCTGCACCGAACTATATTATTATAATATATCATACTAAACTGCATTGCGTTGATGAAGATTCCAACATAATCCCATTCATCACGAGAAGATTCTCATTATAAAGGCCAGAAGAAAAAAAAAAAACTTTAGAAGAGTTGCTACAGAGAAGAAACTGACATTATTAAGTGGTCTTATTTATAAAAAAAAGTTACTTGAAATCAATTGTAAAACCTTCTGAAATGACATGAATAAAAAGCATTGGAGTCAGCAGCTTCCAGATGGAACAAGGATAATAACTCACATCTGAAGCTTGTAGATGCTTCGGAACGGTGTAAATGCAAGCTCTATGGAACTCGGCTAGTACAAAATCCATCACATTTGGGACCTACAAAAGGATGAACTCATAAGGTAGACGTTGCAAGAAAAAACCAGTTAAGCTTTTTAACAGAACTGGTGTGACAATACGGAATAAAAAAACGGAATCTTTTATTGCAACTATGTTAAGGCTCCATTATCAAAATGAGAACGAGAATAATGTTTCTACTTAGGATGAGTCATAACCGAACACCCTTTCCTCCTTCATCCCCTGCTCCCTCCCCTAGACAATAACAAGATTAATTATTTGATTTGGGGGTGGAAAAAATTTTACAAATACTCCCTCCAATTTAACCATATGATTGTAGAGCTTTATAACTCAATTAATGTTTGGTTTGTCATTTCCACTGTGCAGGCTTTTTTTTTTTTTGCACAGCATCAATATAATGCATTATCAAATATGACCATATTGAATAAATTGTAATTCAAAAATATTCTTTAATGAAGAATTAGAAATAAAAAAAAGTTTTATAGAATGAAACCGAACATGCACCAGAACCAATTCAAGTAGGTGGATCTTAAATAGAACAAACGTAAGAACATGAATCTAAATCTGAATTGAATAAGAGATAACAAATAAATTAAACTTGAATAAGAATTGAAGATATTCCTAGTTTTAGAACTGAGCAGATCTTAACCTGGAATTGAATAAGAGGATAACATATGAACCAAACTAAACTTAGAATTTGAAGATATTCCTAGTTTAGAATTAGACAAATCTTTACCTACTTATGTTTTTAAATCATATGAAGATCTGATAATGTAACTTAATGCAAAGTGTTATGCCTTTTATTATTTATCCAAGTCAAGCTGAGTTTATTAAAAAAATAATTTATTTTGATAATATTTTGTTGGCTGCTAATTTACTTAGGGATTTTAATTGCAAGGCTTGTGTGAAGTGTTTTTGTGCTAAACTTGATATTCATAAGGTTTTTATATGATCTCTAGAGATTTTTTTAGTTAGGTTGGCTCAGAAGGGTTTTCCTATGGTTTTTATCTATTAGATTAAAGGGTGTATTGACCATATTTTTTTCTCTGTTTTTAATGGTGCTTTAAATGGGTTTTTTTGCTCTTCTTCAAGTCTTCATCAAGGTTGTCCTCTTTCTCTTTATTTGTTTTGCATTGTTAAGGAGGTCTTATCTAATTTGTTAGAAGATAAGTCTAAACATGTAAATTTTGAGAGCATCAATGCTGGCGAGAATTCCATTTCTCATCTTCTCTTTGTAGATGATGTTTTTTGCTTTTGGGAAAGGCTCTATTTCTAATGCTAGAAGGCTGAAGGAGATTCTGGATTATTTCTCTTGTTGCATTGGTCTTTATATTAACCATAATAAAAACATGGCTATTTTTTATAATCATTATTCTGATGCTAAGAATATTGGTCAGATCATGAATGTGACTATTTATAGTAATTCTCTGAAATACATTGGGTTGCCTCTTTATTGTAAAAGGCTTTCTTTCACTGATAATCAATCTCTTATCAGTGAAGTTACTGATCTACATGTTAGTTGTAGAGCTAAAGTTCTTTCTTTAGCTATGAGAAATCAATTTCATAACTTTACCATAAGTAGTTTTGTTTCATACTGGATTAGAAGACTTAATGTCCCTAAGTTCTGTTATAAATTTATCAAGAAGGTTCGTTCTAATTTTCTTTTTTTTCGGAGAGGCCTCAACTAGAAAAATCATATTATTATATACCTGAGAATGTTGGAGGTCTTGGTATTCCCAATCCTATAGCTTTAAGTTTTGCTTATAGTTGTTCTCTGATTTGGCGTATTCTTAAAGGTATTGGTCTTCTTTCTGGATGGGTTAAACACAAGTATATTTCACTTTGGAAGCCTCCTCAAAAAACCTCTGTTTTTTGGAAGAATTTATGTTCTGCTAGTATGATTAAAAGTTGTCCTTCATAATTCAGCTTAACTGTTCTCTCTCTCTTATTTGGGACCCATGGTGTAACAAAAAAGCTATTCATGAAGCAAGTAATTACAATTTGGGAGCCTTTAATAATTCTGCTGTGAGTGTTTGGTTAGATGCTAATGGTTGGAAGATTCCTGAGAACTTAAATACTGAATTTTTTTGGACATAACTTCTATACCTATATCAAATAGTGTGGCTTCTTGTGTTTATTGGAATGGGGTATCTCATCCTTCTTCTAAAATGTTTCATGTTTCCTTTTATGATGGTTTAACTAAAAAGGAACGGTGTTAATTTATTTGGCATAAAAGTTATGCTTTGAGATTTTTTTGTTTTGCTTAGATCCATCTTGAAAGGTTTGAAAACTACAGATATTCTTTGTGAAAGGAATTTGAATGTGCCTCTTAATTGTATTTTATGTGCTAAAGCTAGGAAAATCATACACATCTTTTCTCTCAGTGTGATTTTTCCTTTAAAATTATTTCTTGTTTAGTACCACGGGTGGAGTTTATTATGCTCAAGTCAACTCTGAATCAAGTTTTCTTATTTTAATTCCCTAATACAAAAGTGAAGAATCTAAAGGCTGTTTTATTTCTTTCAACTTGCTACTCGATTTATTTTTTATGTAAAGAAAGGAATAATATAAGATTTGTTGGAAAGTTTAATTTTTCTGTTAGGGTGGAAAGGTTTATTAACAATGCTATTTTGGCTAAAGATTATCTCTGGAGATCTTTTCATTCTATTAAGCATTTGGTTCTTTAATGGCATTATGGGTTTTGGTTGGATTCTTTTTTGGTTCTGGCTGAGGTGCTAGACTTGTTCTGGTTTGGCATCTTAGGGGGGCTTTCTCTTGCATCTGTGACTCTGTTGTGTTTTAGAGGCTAGTTATTGGGACAATGATAAATTGGTTTTTCCAATGGCTTATCGTGGATGGTTGGCCCGGAAACCAGTTTCATTCCTAGGTTGGTCGTTTCTAGCAAGTAGGGATTTGCCATTTTGAGTCCTTGTTGGTTGGTTGAGCTCTTTTGGTGGCTTGGAGGCTATGTTGGTGGAGCTCTATTATGTGGCTTGAAGTCTTTTTTTATGGATTGGTGATGCAATCAAAAATTTGGGAGAGAGACTTAAATTTTTTATCACAAAAAAGAAACTCTTTCTAGAGAATAAAAGATTACAAGAACTCACAAAAACTAGACAAAACAAACTTTTATATCATATAAAGACTTACAAACTTTTGACTCTTACAAACAACTCAAACAAACGACTCAAACAAAACATCTAAAGTTGCTTTCATCCATTAGAAGAAGGATACAGGTGGAGTGTAAACTTGCGGATAGATGAAAGAGATTAGGAGTCAGTCAAGTTTGTAAGTGTCATGAAATGTAAGAGTTTTCTCTAATATTATAAAAGTATCTTTGTTTCTTATTTTTATGTCTTTTAGAATTTGGTGGATTTCTTTAGCAATTTTAGTATTTCTTTTATATAGGAAGTCTTTAATTTTTGTGATAAAAATTTTGGGTCCCTCCCCAAATTTTTGAATACATCAATTTGGTATCAGAGCGAGGTTAGGTAGTCCTAGGTTTTGTTTTAGTTTGTCAAATTTGAGTCTTGTGAGTTTGTCAAGTCAAGTCATGTTTTGTAAGTCTTGTAAGTCTTGGAGAGTCATAATAGTTGTTGTATGAGTCTTAGTGTCATGTTAGTTTTGTTTTGAGTCAAGTTGTATGTCTTGGTGTCATGTAAGTCTTATTTTGTGAGTCTTGCAAGTCTTATAAGTTTTGTTTGTGAGTTCTTGTAATCTTTTATTCTCTAGAAAGAGTTTCTTTTTTGTGATCAAAAATTTGGGTCTCTCTCCCAAATTTTTGATTGCATCAATTGGTGTCTTAAGGAAGTTCATGGTGCTGGTTGTTAGCCTTTTTTGATGCAGGAATAGATTGATGATTGGTTGAAGTTAGAGGAGTGGGCTTCTCTGTGCGGATTTTGTGATACTTCAGTAAAGGTCTTGTTCTCTATTTTGAAGATTTAGCTGGTCTTTCTAGACTACAAATTCTTATATAATGCTAATTCTACTAATAGATTTTGGAGTTTCTTGTTTAGCTATTTAATCATTGTTGTTTAGGTGATTAGATGGTGTTTTTTATATTTTGAAGATGGTCCTTTGGCTGTTTTAATTAGGAGTTTTGTAGAGGTTGTAAGTTTTTTCTTATTTTTTCTTACATTTCTGATGTTTAATATTTTGTAATCTTTTCATTACATTAATGAAAATTGGGCATGATTGCCCCTAATTTTTTCAAAAAACAAAAAAAAGATTATGTAACTTCTCAAAAACTATCTTTTGAAAATATCTCTATGCCGATCAATCAAATAAATAATGATTTTCTGATTTCTTGATTTTCATGCTGAACTAAATCAACATTTCTATCATTTTTTTCATGAAATTTTTTCAAGAAAAATTGAATTTAAAATTTAATCTTTGAAACCAAGATAAGAAATTCACATTATTCAATTTGTACAATATTTTAACTACTTTTATTTAAGAGGTTGTTCTTCCATATGTTATTCACATGCTATTTGAATCAAACTTATTTGTGCAAACCACTAGTTATCACATAACTTTATGGAATTTTATAAATATTCATTTTTAATTTATTTTATATTTTCCCACTTGTATATTATTTTAAAAACTAAAAATATGCTAGATGAGTGAAGGAGTGTGTTGGTTCTTATTTTTAAGAATAAAGTTGATGCACAAGAGTATGTGAATTATAAAAGAATTAAGCTAATGTACCATGCATTAAAACTATCGAAGAGTGCTATTAAGCATAGGTTACGATGTGATACTATTTTTTCTTAAAATCATTTTGGATTCATACAGGGCAGGTCTACTATGGAAGCTATACATTTATTGAGAGATTTAATGGAGAAGTATAAAAAAAATAAGAAGGATCTATACAGGGTAGGTCTACTTTATTGAGAGATTTGATAGATAAGTATAAAGAGAATAAAGAGAATCTACATAAGATATTTATTGATTTAGAGAAAACATATGATAATGTTACAAGAGAAGTGCTTTGGAGAGTTCTAAAAAAGAAAAGCGCTAAT